ACTTTGACCATTTTTTTCCTCAAAAATCGAATGAGAGAGAACGCAGAGAAGAGGGAAAAAACCAAGGAAAAAGGGAAGAAAAGGAAAGGAAGGAAAAAGAAGAAATCTTGTGCCAACTACTTCAGTCTTGTTTATTTAATTCTTCAAGAGGTAAGGTTAATAATTTATGGTCTAGTTTTTGTAAATTTTTGTTTAGAGTTTTAAATTTATAGCTTATACTTGAAAAATATGATAAGGAAGCTAACTATTTGAGTATTTGGAGCTAGTTATTCTAGTGGATTGGAAGAAATGATATTTAGATATTAGGGTTTTGTTATATGTGGGTTAATCCGAAAATTTGAGGAAAAATATGCATTCTTGTTATTTTCCCTTGTGATTGTTGTATGGTATTATTAAGTTAGATTGGTTGAAAATAACTTATCTTATGCTTGAGTTCTCACTTTGGATGAATATGGAGAATATAAGAAAGGAGCTTTTGATAAGATTTATGTATTTAGTTAAAAGAGAATTTAAATAAGGAATGTGGATGATTATTATCATGAAAAGCTTGTTGAATCTTCATGGGCAGCCGAGAAAGGTTAGTATTAACGAGTGAAGGATGTAGAGTGATACGAAATTAAGTGAACGTATGTTTAAGTAACCAAATGAAATATAAATATTAAGTCTCAACTTATTGCTTATTGAGGGATATATATTTTATTTTGATGATAAGAAGGGGTTATTATTGAGAAATCCCTTGTAACTGTATATAGATGGAATTGAAGTGACTTATATTTATGATCGTTTCAAGAGGGGATTTGAACGTGGGAACAACATACCAGCCCCGTTAGTCCAGCCTATATCTGCGAGTGGAGAATCTATATTTTCAAAAAGAAGATTTTCTTTTTATTTAATAGAAGCATGTTAATTACATGAAATGCTTTATTTTTGAGAATTAGTAAATGAGCATGATTGTTTTGAAATTATCATAAAATAATTGATGTGATTATCTTACTCTAGTGCACTAAGGGGCTACGGCCGTGTACTAGAGTCATGTATTTAACTCTTATCCATTGAGGGGCTACAGTCGTGGGTAAAGGTATCCAATATACACTGAGGAGCTACAGCCGTGTGTAAGGGTAACTCTTATCCACTGAGGGGCTACAGTCATGTATGAAGATGATTATTTTGTTTCCATCTTGTACGCTAAGGGGCTACGGTCGTGTACAGAATATTGATCAGACGGTTTATGTACATATGATTTATATCTTTCAGATCATTAGTTACATGGGATATATTTTGATGTGAATTTTAATTATATAGTGGATTATTAGTCTTCAACTTACATTTTCCTGTTTACAGATTAGCTTGTGTGGACTTTAGATTATGGTTTTAGATTATTGAATTATCTAATGTACTTACTCATCTAGATACACACACACATAAAGGACAGTACAACCATCTTTTAAGCACTTTACTCATTGGGATTATTATCTCATATTTTTCTTAACTTTTTCTTATAGGAGGCTTTGACTGAGCTGTGGTGGAGATTATTTTGATAGTTTTGCAACCATTGTTACCACCAATTGTAGGTTCTTTTGTTTGAAATTGTGTAATCATCAAGTGAAATATTTGCATCATATTGGAGGATTTTTTTTTTTTGTATTTATATGCACCAATGATCATGATGGAATATTGTAATCTAAACTGCCTTCTATTATCCTTTTGAGAGGCAGTTTTGATGAAAATGATATGGATGTTTTTGGCTAAACGGACGAATGATATTATTATGTTGGTATATTGGAGTTCAGAAAGATTTAATTGGTCAAATGAAGCTTTATTATTAAAGTTTAGTTACTTTTGCCTTGGTGATGAGTTCGGTGCCTAGCTGGCACTTATTATCGGCTCACGTCACGTCTTGAGTCTTGGGACGGGATGTGTCAGGCTGTGCTCCATATGATCTTGCTACTTCTGAAATTTCTTTTGCAACAGGAAGTGAAATAGAACGCTTTGAGTTGGTGGCCAAACAATCATCCTTATAAAATTTGTGTTAGGAATTTATGGTTGATTTTAAAAGAGATTTGAAATCAAAACAAACATCACACGCAAAGAATCATAAAATGAACACAAGAACGCCAAAAATATTGACCCAGTTCAACCAAAATAGGCCTAATCTAGGGGGCTTAAGGACAGCCCGTTCCACTATGGCACAATCTACCGTCTAAGAGAGCAATAGTACATCAAGAACCACTCAGATTACCAGGTTTCAATCACTGATCCAATCGATCTCGTGAAACATGCACGAATCGACCAATCAAATCAACCAAATGTTTCTGAGTTTAACAATACAAGATCAACCAATATCTCAGTCCTGACCATACAACAGATCTACAAACTCCATTTAATCAATCATAGGAGCCTTACAAACAGAGAAGAAAATTTATACCCAAAACGAAGAATATAGAGAACTAGAAGAGAGAAGATGGAAAAATCTGGAAGAAGCTGAAAGTCCGGTGACTTTTAGACAAGAAAAATGACGCTTCATATTCCAAGGCATAATCTCAGCCTTTGATTATATCCAAGGTCTAGGAAGGGTCTCAACTAGCACAATCCGAGTGAATATCAAGTGGCCTACAGATAAGTGCAAGAGGTGAAAAACTACAAGGGGTGGTATTGCATTAACCCCTGGGGTTCGCATTCTCCCTTCATCTGGGGCACTCCTACCTGGTCCCAGAGATAACTGTACCAACCCAATACCATGAGTTTAGTTCCAATTAAGAATTTCTTATATGTTCCAATTTTGAGTGAACGTTTCTAATTCCCCTTTTGTGTAGCTGTAGTTGACTGGTTTGTGTTAGAGCCATCTAAGTGGGCTGTCATAAAGGCCATATACGAGCTTCCACCAGAAAATAGGTTTTTTAGAACCGTTCTTGAAAAAAGAAACCTATTCGTGACTCATCTTTTGATGGCGACCAAGGGTAAGGGCCTCGTCGTATTTTTGTTCGAGACAATTTGATATACTACTAATGCTAACTGTTTAACCACTTTGCTTTCAAATCAACGCGATAAGAAGGAGTATATCAAGCTAGACATGTTCTTCATGAGGCGGCTTGTTGAAGAGAGAAAGAAGAAACCTCTGAGCTATGGTTCGACCACTTACAAGAATCAATGGGATAAGCTTACCCGTTTGTCGAAGCCGAACCCTCAACCTCTTCTAGAGAAGAAAGAAAACCAGAAGGGTAAGGAGAAAACTAAGCTACAGGGGATGAGAAGAAGAGAAAACTGGTCCTTACGAAGAATGTTGGACCACCACCTCCTCTGAAGCAGCAGAGTACAATTGACAAGTCACTAAAGAAGCCTATTAAGGTAGAGTCGATCTTCACCGTAAAGATATTAAAGCTGGAGGAGGTGAATGAAGAGGAGGTTGGCTTGATTAAGTGGTAGAGGAACATGCAGCTTAGTCGAAATGGCTTTTCAGAGGGAAGGGCTCAAAAATTTTTATGGGGCAAATATGATGAGATTGCCCCTGAGGTGATGGAGATGCTCCTCGTCGAGGCCCAGTCGACTACAAGAGTACATTACAAATACTAGACCGATAAGTACTCTTCTTACATTGAGACTTGTGACTCGGTGGATATGCTGGAAGCTAGCCTCACCTTGAAGGCTTTCTTCCTGAGTGCTCAAATGGATATGAGGAGGCTACAAAAGATAAATTGAGAGTTTGAGCGTAAGGCTACCAAGGCTGAGGTATAGGCCAAGAAGTTGAAGGCGAGGCCATTGAAGCGTCCAAGGTGAAGCAGGCTGAGCTGGAGTCTAAAATTGAGCAGCTCATCTCTGAAAATAAGGGCTTGAAGACCAAAATCCATCTTTGCCTATCTAAGGTGAATGACTTGACAAAGCGGGTTGAGAATTCTGACAACCTTCAAAAGATCGCTTTGACAGCCTAAGAGGCGGCTAATAAAGAAAAGGTAGAAATGAAGGCCCAGTTGATGAGCTAGCTGCTGAGGTTGCAATTTTAAAACATCAGCTAGACGGAGCAGAGGATGCAACCTTGCACAACTACATTGCGCATTCTCATGAAACGGCTGAGTATGACAACCTCAACTTGTACTAGAGAGTCGTCGCATACAATGAAGCCTTCAAAAGGCTTGCCAAGCTGCATCCCCAATTGGACCTGGCCAAGGTGATGGAAGAGTTCATCCCAGCAGAGCCTGCCACCCTTGCTGAAGAAGGGGAAGCATCTGAAGAGTTAGGCAATGAGACGGATCAAGCAACCTAGGTGATATCAGTTTTGTAATTTAGCGTTGCCAAAGGCATTGTTTTGTAATGAACATTTCTAATGAACTGATCTTCTTGTGCTGCCTATCAAGTTGGCCATTTTAATTTATGAGCTTGTCATAGTTAACGCAACTAAAACATATGGTCTCGCCATACTTAGACTATAATTTATCTGTTATAACCAATCTGGAAAAAAATCTCTGGGCTCGCCATACAATAAATTGTAAACTTGTTAATTAAGGGACTCCCCATGGAACAAATCTGAAGAAGAATCTATGGACTCGCCATAAAATAAACTATGAGCTTGACATAATTAATCCAAGGAACGTATGGGTTTGCCATAGAACAAACTATAAACTTGTTAGTTAATTTGCATAGGATATGGGATCGCCATAAAATAAACTATGAGCTTGTCATAATTAATCCGAAGAACATATGGGCTCGTCATAAAATAAACTTTGAGCTTGTCATAATTAGTTAGAAGAACATATGGGCTCGCCATTAAATAAATTATAAACTTGTTAGTTAATTTGCAGAGTATATGGGCTCGTCATAAAAAAAAAACTATGAGCTTGTCGTAATTGATCTGAAGAACATGTGGGCTCGCTATAATATAGACAAGAAATTAACCTTGAAGTAGAGAAAACACTATGCACTTTATTGATGAAGAGTACACAAAAATTGAGGAGCAGTATAGGAGAGTTGCATTAAAACAATCATTGATAGTACGTTCACAGATGCTCAACATTCCAGGGGTGGGGCTGCACTTTTTCATCCAAAGTTTCAATCCTGAACGTCCTTGGCCTGAGCTCCTTAGATACACGGTAGGAGCCTTCCCAGTTTTGACCCAAAGTGCCTGTACCGGGTTCTTTTGAGGAAAGGAAGACCCTTCTCAATACAAGGTCACCCCTGCGGAATGACTTCTTCTTCACCCTTGCATTGTAGTATTTGGTCATCTTCCTGATCTGAGAATCATCCCTCTTTTCTTCGAGGAAATCCAAATCACACCGTCGTATCTCCTTATTAGATTTACGTGTAATATTATTCTATTGGAAAATGTGTGATTGATAAGAATGGAGGGAAATTAAATTTTAGTAAATTTTGATAAAAGTTAATGAAATATGTAATTAAAAAGTTGTAGATTCCATAAAATATGTGGTTAAAATTGATTGTTGTCTTTGACTTAAATTAAAATTCATATTAAAATCACTACAAAACAGGACCGTAATGTAGGTGAGAGGTAATGCAAGTTGCAGCATGTTAATGCACACATTTTACGTGTTATGCTTATTAGGCATATTTCGTTGTTATGCATGGTTTTTTGCAAATTTTCAGTTGATAATAAATATTTATTTTCTAATTTATGAATTAAATTAGAAATTAAAGTCTCCTAAAAAACCTAAACTTCAACTGTCGAAACCTATTATTTGCTGAGGAAAAGATTTAGTGCTTGTTTGGAAAAACTAAAATGAAGAGTAAAGAGATAGTAAATGGTTAGTAGTTGTAAATATGTAATTAGAATTAATGTTTAGCCCTTGTTTGAGCTCCTTTTTGGGGGAGGAATGAAATTTTGAATAGTATATTAATAGGAAATGTGTAGTTAAAAAATAAAGAAAAATTTTGAATTTACGTGTCATATTATTTTATTGAAAAATGTGTTGTTGAAATAATGTTAAAATATTCTTGAAAAATGACTAAATTTTGCAACATTAGTCCCCAATTTTCAAATATTGTTGCAACTTGATCCTCAGCTATTTTCATAAGGGTCATCACCAGCGTCCCAAATTTCTAATTTTTTGTAACTTAATCCCATAACTATTTTATTGGTATCGTCTTGCAACTTGATCCATCAACTATTTATATTAGTAGGTTTATCACCAACTTTTAAATTTTGTACGTCATAGTGGATGGTTTACAAGTATTTGGAAGAGCACAAGTGCAATGCATGTAAGCAGGTTTTGGCACAATAGGTTAAAAATAGAAAACGGATATACAATAGGTTTAAAATAGAAAACGAATAGAAAGAATGGAAAAATAAAACGAAAAAGAAGAACTCTGCCACGATGAACTCCTAGTCATAAAAATGTTTATATGTCGTGCATCTGCATTAGTTAGATGCAGATTATGAATACAGGACAACATAAACACTTTATCTTAAAGTTGAACAAACCAACTGGCTTCAGTTAGGTGAACCACATTAAACAGATCAAATTGATGCCCGTCATTTGTATGAGCTCTATACAAACCTTGTTAGATACATAAGAATTCTAGGACATCATTTTGTTTAAGAGTCAATCAAGGCTTGAAATGCTCACACGTCCACACACACACACACAGAGTTATAGTCTACTCTCGTCGTCTACTAAAGTTGAAGTAGAGGCAGAGCCATAACAACACCAAAAATGGAAACCAGCAACAGCAACAACCAAACTGGAAAAGACTGCTTCCTCTTGTTATTTAACTCCTTTGGAGCTTCAATTCTTTTCAACTCTGCCTTTTCCCCTTGTTTCTCTAACAAAGGATTTAAGAGTCCATCTTGAGTAGCTGCAGATGTGTCCTGCTCAAGTTTAGGTTGCTCGGCTGCAAGCTGCTCTTCATACTTGTCAACGTATTCTGGAAACAGTTTCTTGAATGTAGAGCTGTTATGAACAAAGAAAAACAGAGGCCATAAAACAATTCATATAGACATTCAAGAAATTAATGTTTTGCCCCCGAGTTGTAGATACAGGCAGCATCCAAAAGGGTCTCAACTTGATGATACTATCCAATACAACTACCACGCAGTCTAGGGTACTGTACAACACAAAGCTTACACAGACACTTGACTATTATAAAACTGAAGATCTCCTACAAACTTTTAAGGGGCAAATAAGAGACTCCAATAATAAACTTCCCATATCTCCCATGGCTCTTCGTAATTCACTTTTCCCTTTTCGTAAAGTTACATGTAGTGAGATCTTAACTACATGGCATAAATTACCAGCAGTTAATGTTTTCATTAAGAAATAAAAAAGAACTATCAAACACGTTTAAGCCCATAGCACTAGATGCTGGAATGTAGCGTAATATAAAAAGACAAACAACAACAAAATGAGATGGCTAACTTCTATACATGCAAGGGACATTGGTCAACAAGGAATAACAGGGCTGGGGATCTGATTGACACGACATAAAGAATTCTAACAAGGACACTTTTAGTAAGGTGAGAAAAACAACCACCACCAACTTACAACAGCTCTGCATTATTTATGTAATTGACAGAAGCAATTACTTTTCAATCCAAAAAGGTAATAATCCTGTGTGGACACCTCCTACCCGGAAAAAGGAAGAAAGAGAAAAAAGAAAATCAGTTTGAAAAAGACTCACTTCTTACAATTGAAAGCAAGAGAAGCCTCTGCAAGTCTCTGTTTCTCTTCAACGGTAGTTGTCACACTGCCTGTGGTAGGACTGCTGTCCATCTGAAACACTTTAGAACATAATGAGATCTGAATATTTAAAGAACAATCCCATCTTGACAAAACTTCTGGCTAAGGAAACTTTTAATCAGAAAAAGAATAAATCAAGCACTCAGGGCAAAAATGAATTGTAAACCATTCGTCGTTCTAAAAGTGCACCGTGAACTCACCATGAATGAAAGAAGTCCATTCAATATGCTGCATGTAAATAAATTGAAGTCAGCTCAAGCAACTGAAACTGCTATAAAAAAGGAAAGACCGTCTTGACAACGCATTACCTGGAGACAGACCACATGGGGTTCCAACTTTCAGGATGGACTGGAAAGTGAAATGATGTAAGTGGGAGGAACAAAAATGTCTCAGAGATAACCAGAGAAAGAATAATTTTTCACTGTAACCTAGGTAACTTACAATCACTCATGGAAAGGCATATTTTCTTTTGTGTCATGAAGCGGCCATTTGGAGTAGTCATACTATAGAGCAAGGAAATTTAGAAACAGCTAGTCATTAATGCCCTCAAATCCCGTCGGGAATAATGCTTAAAGCATTAAAATAAATATCTGAATGCAAACTTGAATAGTTACCTGATTCCTGGAGGTTTGAATGGATATTCTGGAGGAAACTTAATCTTTCCATAGTAATATCCACCTTATCATTTGGAGCAATCAACAATGAAAAACAAAACAAAATATGAATATCATCATGCAACAGAACATAAAAACACCTTGCAGAAAAATAGAAGAAAATATGCATGTGCCCACACACACACAAACACTAGTGAATAAGAATGTTACACACATATTCCAGTATTCCACAGATTAAAAGAACTAGAAACCTGCAAATGGCGTCCCTTCGCTTCCCTCCAAAACATAATCTGACCACAAAATAGGAAAATGGATCATATTAGAAAGGAAGCAAATAAATGAGTAAATGGTAAAAATAAGGGATAAGAATTGTCATTTAAAGAGGTAACTGGTTCTAGCGACTTAAGGAAAGATGCAGGACCGCAGGAATACATATTTTGCAAGTTTAATAGGGGTTTAATCTAGTCAAATAGAAAGATCTAATCAATTTCATGGAAAACCAGATGCTAATAATACCCTCTTCAAATTTTAAAAACAGATTTGCAAGATATGTTCAGCCACATAATAATTACATAACCTATTCGAAATAAATACTTCCCCTCATTCAATTTGACAAGCCTGCTAATGTTCAAAGGGCCAAGGTGTTTACTACATCTCATCATGGTAAAGTATGTATTGCCATAGCAGTCAATAGAAGTAAGGAAAATATTTTGACAAAATGGGGCCAAAGAGAACGGATCAGATGGGGATGCAGAAGTAAAAATAAGCCTCACTCACAAACACATTGTGCTTATGATATTAGGAAAAAGAGAGAGAGAGAGAAGAAAAAAGAGAACAGCTAATGTAATAAAAAAAGGGAAAATCAATATCCCTTTCAAGATCTACTTTTAACTGATCACAATTATGCAAATGAAAAGGTACACAGCTCTATCTAATACATTTAGAGAACACCAGAGAAAGTAACTTACGCCACTCGAGGATGTCATTCGGAAGAGGACGTGCCACAACATGGGAAACAGGTTCCTTCAAATGCATAAAATAAACAATAATTCACCAATTGAGATAATTAGTGTAACTGTGTAAGTACCAAGTACAAATAAAGCCTGAAAAATATTAATATATCACAAAGGTATCTCAGGCAAAGTCACATGGAATAAAGTTGAGCTGGTAGGTATTGAATGGCATAGGGGTTAAGGTTTCAAACCTGTGTCGAGTGCTAAAGATTATGCTATAAATTTGGTTCCACTGGAATATTAGAGTTATAACACATATGACTGGAGTATCCATATAACGTCATAAGAAAAGGTACCAGGTCTTGTGTCCTAAACAATTATACAACTTAAAATTGTCTTTTATGGTGAGAGAGGAGGAGAGAGCAGCCACTTAGCAATGTATACACTCTCTATAACAAAACTTCCTGGTATTTTGTTACATTTTTTTCCGACAATAATCTGCTGAAAAATAACAGTCCAAAAACTGAACTTTGGCGGCCAACATGGGAAAAAGAAGTCAGGTCTGGATGTTATGATGGTGGTGGAATACAGAATTCAAAATATAAGCAGCATCTTCTCAATGCTGCGGCATTAACCGTGCAACTCTACATTAATTGACATTATGACAAACAAGGAACATATGGATGATGGGAAAACAACTTACTTTACAAAGATCTCTAAATTCCCTCTGAAGGCGCTTTACACATGCTTTTTCTGCCATTTCTCAGTGTTTTAGTCAAGGAGTTATGAATTATAGCCAATTCCTTTAATATATGCACTGCCTCAACTATGATATCTCCTGTAAAACATGATAAATTGCATTAAAACTTGAAAATCCTGTTTATTCCTCTTCACCTCAACAGTCGAACACAAATAAAGTAACATCAACAAATGAACTAAGAGTTTCACCAAAGAAAACAGAAAACTCTGTTTCAAACAAATACATACAGCTCATTTTTCAAAACATACATAAAAAGAAATTTAAAAAGTTAAATAAATCAAATTTCTACTCAAGCTTTATGGATAATAGAAGAAATGGGAGAATCAAATCATGCACTCTCCATATCATTAGAGAGATGCAGCCTAAAGAAATTGTACAATAAACATAGATACATATTAATGACAGAAAAATGCCCAACGGGCATAAATATGCAAATTTAAAACAGAGTCATGCCTATTAAAACAAAGAAAGTCCAGCCTGCCTATTTACAGCTTCTTACAGTAAGAGTTGTGTGTTTTGCTGCTAGCAAAACTCAAGAAGCCAGATGCTTTATCCATTACCTCTAAAGTCAATGCTCTTAGATTTGACTCCCTACACATTGGTCATTTCTATTGACAGATAAAATTTCAATTTGTCAGGTTGCCGGCTATAAGAACAAGTTAATGCCCATATATGTCAAATACTTGAACTACAGTGATAATAAACCAGTAAATTAATAATCCAATATCAAGGAGTTAAGCAAGATGAAACACATCCTCGAGCATTAGGTTAAACTTGGTGCATATCACAGTCAGAACAAGCTAATTTCCAATGTAAAACATCACTTCTACCAAGATGACATAATTACTAACATCAATATAACCAATAATTGCAATAGTAAAGTACTTTCAAAAGCAATTATCAATTTCAAAAAGTAATGAAAGTAGATCGTTTGATTTTTTATCATTCACCAAAAAGGAGGAGAACGAACCGTTGGATTTTTTTGTATCCCCTAAATCAAAAAATGGTTGACTAATATCCTGTTTATTCCTCTTCACCTCAACAGTCGAACACAAATAAAGTAACATCAACAAATGAACTAAGAGTTTCACCAAAGAAAACAGAATATTCTATTTCAAACAAATACATACAGCTCATTTTTCAAAACATGCATAAAAAGAAATTTAAAAAAGTTAAATAAATCAAATTTCTACTCAAGCTTTATGGATAATAGAAGAAATGGGAAAATCAAATCATGTACTCTCCATATCATTAGAGAGATGCAGCCTAAAGAAATCATACGATCAACATAAATATGTATTAATGACAGAAAAAATTGCCCAACAGGCATAAATATGCAAATTTAAAACAGAGTCATGCCTACCAAAACAAAGAAAGTCCAGCCTGCCTATTTGCAGCTTCTTACAGTAAGAGTTGTGTGTTTTGCTGCTAGCAAAACTCAAGAAGCCAGATACTTTGTCCATTATGTCTAAAGTCAATGCTCTTAGATTTGATACCCCACACATTGGTCATTTCTATTGACAGATAAAATTTCAATTTGTCAGGTTGCCGGCTATAAGAACGAGTTAATGCCCATATATGTCAAATACTTGAACTACAGTGATGATAAACCAGTAAGGTAATAATCCAATATCAAGGAGTTAAACAACATGAACCACATCCTCGTGCATTAAGTTAAACTTGGTGCATATCACAGTCAGAACAAGTTAATTACCAACGTAGAATGTCACTTCTACCTAGATGACATAATTACTAACAACAATATGACCAATAATTGCAATAGTAAAGTACTTTCAAAAGCAATTATCAATTACAAAAAGTAATGACAGAAGATCATTTGATTTTTTATAATTCACCAAAAAGGAGGAAGACAAACCGTTGGATTTTTTTGTATCCCCTAAATCCAAACAATGGTTGACTAATACCCTATGTATTCCTCTTCACCTCAACAGTCGAACACAAATAAAGAAACATCAACAAATGAACTAAGAGTTTCACCAAAGAAAACAGAAAATTCTGTTTCAAACAAATACATACAGCTCATTTTTCAAAACATACAAATAAAGAAATTTAAAAAAGTTAAATAAATCAAATTTCTACTCAAGCTTTATGGATAATAGAAGAAATGGGAGAATCAAATCATGTACTCTCCATATCATTAGAGAGATGCAGCCTAAAGAAATTATATGATCAACATAGACACGTATTAATGACAGAAAAAATTGCCCAACAGGCATAAATATGCAAATTTAAAACAGAATCATGCCTACCAAAACAGAGAAAGTCCAGCCCGCCTATTTGCTGCTTCTTACAGTAAGAGTTGTGTGTTTTGCTGCTAGCAAAACTCAAGAAGCCAGATACTTTATCAATTATGTCTAAAGTTAATGCTCTTAAATTTGATACCCCACACACTGGTCATTTCTATTGACAGATAAAATTTCAATTTGTCAGGTTGCTGGCTATAAGAACGAGTTAATGCCCATATATGTCATATCCTTGAACTACGGTGATAATGAACCAGTAAAGTAATAATCCAATATCAAGGAGTTAAGCAAGATGAACCACATCCTCATGCATTAGGTTAAACTTGGTGCATATCACAGTTAGAACGAGTTAATTTCCAATGTAGAATGTCACTTCTACCGAGATGACGTAATTACTAACATCAATATAACCAATCATTGCAATAGTAAAGTACTTTGAAAAGCAATTATCAATTACAAAAAGTAATGACAGTAGATCATTTGATTTTTTATCATTCACCAAAATGGAGGAAGACAAACCGTTGGATTTTTTTGTATCCCCTAAATCCAAACAATGGTTGACTAATATTCATTTAAACTCGATTTAAGAACTGCCCAGACAAAAATCCCAAATATTTTGCAAAATCCAACGAAATCCAAAGGTTTCCTTTCCTAATTCATCCACGGTTCGTTTCCCAACTCGCCAGTCCCACAATTTTGCAATCAGAAAACAGAAAAGAAAAGTCATACAACATAATTCACTCTAAGTCCTCGATAATATTCTCCCAAATCAAGGTAACAATTAAAATTCAGAAACAGAAGCATAAAATACACTCTTTCACATTAAAAATTCGAACCCAATCTTTAATTTCTAAACCAACACCACATCATGTATCTGTCTGTGAATTAAATAGCAGGAAAACCATATCAATTATATACAAAAAAATATGTACACTTATAGAGAGAGAAAAGATAATCTTTTACCAGAGATCCGAAGGAAAAATCAAATTCTGTACTGTTCCGATATCTTCACTGAACCAAAAATAATATATATTATTTTATGATTAATAACAATTTAAAGGAAATTACGATTCGATACAAATGGGGGCATCGAATTTGGGGAAAAAGGAGGAAAGCAGTCTATTTTTTGTCCGCCTGATGTCACGTTCGAGAATTCAATGCATCAAGACCATTCTAACCCTTTACGCATCAAATGGTACGAGATCTGCTGTGCCTTAATTAGGATAGGTACGTCTTTTTCTTACGGACTTCAGGTTCCCGGCTCAATACCATTTGTGAGTTGTGACCGGAGCGAGTCAATTACTAAACTAGCCCCTATAGTTTTAACGATTCCCACAATTTTCCCCTATGTTTAAATTTCTTCAAATTCATCCCACACCGAGCTTAATTGAATCTCAGGTCACCGTATTTTAAATGAGATTTTAACTGGTCCAATGTAATTGCATTTCAACTACTTTATCAATCTACATCGTAATTTCTCTTATTTTCGAGCTTATTTTGACTTTCTGACAACTACCATACTTGTCCATATATATATATATATATATTCAACTTGTGCTTCGATTATCAATACATATAAAATCAAAGCTTGAGTGTGAATTATTGAATTGTGTTAAGCTGTGGTGCTACGTTTTTGGACGAGTAGCTAAATTTTTGCTCCAGATAATATTTTTGGATGGTGATGCTTGAATCGTGTTGTGAGTGGACTCCAAAAGACCCCTCAATCGAGTTCTACTCCCATTTGTTCCACCATCGGCCACCTCACACGGACTGTATGCTAGTCAACATCATTAGACCCCCTACTCATGAGTCCACTACACTATTCCTTACAAGTATACAACAACTTTCCTTAATTGCACATTCATCTTAATTGAAGTGTTAGCCAATTTTCAATCGATGGATTTTTACTCAATCATTGTACATGTTATGTGCGTGTCACAATGTAAAAAAATTCATGATTATCCATCAATTGCACATGACATCTTCAGATTGATGAGTTCATCACATTATATGAACTATCCGTGAGTCCGAAAGTGAGATTCTCACCTAGAACATGCAATCTAACATGTGCAATTCACCATAATTGCTCTGGCAAGAGAATTCACATGTCATCAAGATTATGGCTTTTCAAAATTTGAAATTGCCTTTCATTTTTCATGGACCCCTTCCCCTATATAAGTCACAAGGGTGCCTCCATTCCAAATTTTCAAACTCTAGGACTGGGCGAGACGTTTGAAATTCAATTCTTTGGCGGTATAAACTTGAAGATGACATTTGTTATATGCTTTCTTTTCCTTTTAAGCAGATTATATATGGATGATTTCTTATCACCAACATGCTTTCTAAATTTTTCTACAAACCCTAAAACCAAAGGTAAAAATGAAAGTGTAAAAGAAAATACCACAAGTAAATTTTTTATCCCAGTTGGTGCTATTTATGCAATTTCTTTGTTAACACTTACCCTCATCATCAGTTTACTGGAACCTGAAGACTTCTACCAGCCATTACAGCCCACTAAGATCTGCTAACATCATGGGCCAGGCTTTGATCTATTAACAGCCAAATCAAATTGGGAAATTACGTGAGATGAGAATTTTGGAGATTACATTTCAAAAATCATAGAATAGTTTGATTATTTCAAAAGTCAAAGATTTAAATAGATAAATATATAATAATTAATATATACACATATATATATCAGTTACCAAAATCAGTTCACGTGCCTTTTGGTAAGATTGAATAACTATATATCAAACAGGAGAGAGAATATTATACATATCCATAATTAATTCCCATTACGTGAAAAAAATCGAAAATCGTCCCACGTCAAACCTCTAATTCGGCCACAATTCACGGCGTGCTACTCCATAAATCGAAAAGTGTACTGTAAGAAGTAGGGTTTCTATCGCACTGTGACCCGTGCGTCTTCAAGCGACGCTACTGTCGGTTACTGAAACCAGACATTGAAGATGGTTTTAACAAGGAGCGTTGATCCTAAAAGTCGGCCAAACATTGGTGAGAGTTTTAGAAGAAATGCATAGAAACGAAAAAGCATGAAAGGGAGTAAAGTGTCGATGCCCGATTCTGGTTCCGGTACCTCATCTAAATCGCGCATTCATGGTCAAAAGGTAAATCGGTAGCTTGAATGATTCCGTTAGTTGAAATTTCATGCTCCACATTTGTTGGGTGTCTATGTCATGGGTGGTCACACATATATTGAAATTGTGACCACAATACAGTAATTAGAGAAAGAATTAAAAAAATATATTATGGAGCGTATGTCCTACAATTTGATTGTGGCGACCCCACGTTATTGCGCACGAGAACCCCTTTTTGCATTGCAATTTGAGTCACAATGGATGATTTTGTGTCTAATTATGACCCAACACTTGTGGTAAAGATGCAATTTTTTTGGGCATTTTGTGGTCAGTATGCTTTTTTCCTGTTTGTGCCCTCGAAAGTGACCAAATGCCTCCAATGTGACCCACAATTATGGGAAAGAGTTTCAGTTGTTGATGATGAATTTGGAGTATGTGCTGTTGGATTCTTGTCTATAATTCGATCTTGAATGTAACCTTAGTTCTATGGTCAATGACCAAAGCATTTTTGCGATATTTCTGTGGGTGCATTTTACATAGGTGGTTATATAAGTGGATTCAATTCCTTTCTGTGTGACCTAGTTCTAGGGTCCATGAACCAAGTTTTTTTTTTTCATGACAATTGTTTTCTATGTGATACGAACTCACTTCATGTATCAAATGCTGAGTTCTGATTTACAACTATTTTCATCTATTGTAGGAATGACAGCATATTATACCGGAATTTGCATGGTTTCCCAATAAAATTACCACAAATGCAACCAAGAACGTGCTGTCGAATTTTACATCAAAGTTCAACGATGAACAGAAACAGATTTTGTCTGGGACGTGCTTCTACTATTTTGTGGATTGTAAGGAGATAGTTGTTCAACCCCAACTTATTTTTTACTCCGAGAGGTAAAGCAACCAAACAAGAAAAAGATGTGGTTTTTGGTAGGTGGCAGGTATTTACGTTTTTCGTTGCCTGAGTTTTGTCTGGTCACAGGTCTTAGATACCATGGTCAGGATGTTAGGAGAAGTCTTCAAAATTCACATTCCAAGATTAAGGAGAAATTTTTTGGACACCTGAATGTAGTCACAAACGAAGATGTTAGAGATATATTCATTGGTATGACAAATGAGAACGATTATGAAGTGGTGAAAGTTGGGATTCTTTATTTGATAACTTATACCTCTTTTCAACCTCGTACAAGAATGTTGTTGACAATTAGTTGTTCGCTCTTGTTGAAGATTTTGAGAGGTTGGAGATATTTTTGTTTGCGAAAGAGTTGTTTGATCTTTCCATAACATCTTTGAAAGATGGGTTGAAGAATCGAAATCCCCATTATAGACTCAAAAGATTTCTTGTTGCATTTCAAGTTTGGATTTACGAGTCTATTAATCGACTTGACGGGACTGTCACTTTTAAGATTGGAAGCAATTACCCAAGTATACTGAACTGGAGTTCAGATAAACTACCGTTTGCTTCAAAACTCGAAGAGGACATGTTCCCCGTGTCCGATTTAAGTCTTCACTTGATTGTTTATTACTTGAACTGGTCACAGATTAGGTCAGACTTGAAACCATGCAGTCACATTACACTTTCTTCGTTCTACCGTCAACGATAAATTATACTGTCACATTCACATAGCTAAGACCATATTTTTCTGTTGTACTGCAAATGCCACAAGTGTAATAATCTGGTTACAGTTATTCATTTTTTGGTCACAATCCACATGACACAATGTTTATTCATTCGGCTCTGACCACTAGGTTACTTTATTTTGTTGTAACAGCTCCAGGTTCATGACATTAATCCATCTGAGATGGAGATGGTGCAGTTGTATATGGATGGTGTTCTATATGAGATGGAGAAGGTGCAGCCGTATATGGATGGTGTTCTATATAACAAACCACAACAACCATCGCTATCACACCACAGTAGAAGCTCAAAGATCAACCGAACTATGAAGAAGTCTAAGCCACGCATTCTAATGATTACTGATGGATGATTAGGTCACCCGAGTGATATCGAAATTAACGACGACGACGACGATGATGTTTTCGTTGATCTACCTTTGCGACGAGAACGGACATCATTCCCCATCCGTTCTTCCATGGACCCTCCAATGGAGCCTGACAAGATGTATGTGGAGTCACCGAAGGATGCTGGTGCATCTGCTCATATGTCTCCACCCCATGCAGCATATACAGCTGATTTCGAAGTACGTCCATATCCATACTTTTCATATGTGTGACCTCAATCTTGGTCACAAATTCTGACCACGTTATACATTGTCGTTCAGTAGACACAAATGTGGCGAAATTTTTGCACATGAGTCATATATACATGCATCTCACTGCCACCACATTGATTTATGTTTGTGTGACCTTTCACGATATGTTGGTCACAGTCCAGTATGTAGGGTCACATTCAAATTAATGTTTCAATATCTTATGCTCTACATTTAGTTGACTTATTCTCAGATGCTTTCCATTTTACAGCTTTTGAAACATGATGTTACTAATCTCCGAAATAAGAATACGGAGTTGTCTGTGGAAATTGATAATGTCAGGAAATAGTTACTGTCCATAAAGGCTGACAGTAGTTACAAGCTCAATATCGTTGTTCGTGTGCAAGAGAATATCAGGACTGACCTGCTGGAGATAAAGTCAATTATGAAATTTCTATCTAATGTTGTGACCGCAATGGTAACTAGCTCAATGGATCAAATAATGGACATGTTCAAAGAGATAGGTGAATCAAAATGCACTGGAGCTGTATCCAATCAGGAAGAGGTATGTTTATCTATTTCCAAGGTCATTTTACGCAGTTGTTAGTGCACTCAATAACTTTTCATGGTTGTGTCTCGTGTAGGGTAAAAATGTTGACGCATCTGTTGACAGAAAAGGAAAGGGAAAAATGTACCCCAATGTGCAAACTTTCGACCTAATGAACTTGGAACCGCCATCATTTGATTTGGGGATCGGTTGTACCCAGCCTACTCTACATGTATCTAACAACCCTGATATGCCTCGAACACATCAATTACAAGAACACGGAAGTTGCTGATAAGAATGTGACTTGTTCCAAATCA